ATTCCCAGGATGCTCTTGATGTACCTTTGTTTTTGTCTCCATAAAAAATACTTTGTGGTGTATAAGGAATCAAACTTGGGAACTTGTAGGTGCTATGTCACTGAGCTACATCCCCAGCCCACTTTTTTTTTTTAAGCAGGGTCTTGCTATGCAGTTCAGACTGGGCCTTGAACTCACTTTGTAGCCCTGGCTGGTCTTAAACTTTCAAGGATCCTCCTGCCTCAGCCTCCTGAGTGCTGGGATTCCAGGTGTGTACTACCATGCCCAGAATTACTTGGTTTGTTTTTAGTGACACTTAACTCTCCAGAAATCAGTTCTCCATTAGTCCTAAATTAACGCATAGTTCTTTCTGGACTAAATTTTCCATTATCTAAGTTTTCTGCCATGCCTTTTGATGTATTTTTCAAAATAAATCGAGCAATAATCATCCAGCACATTGAAGACACAGTTGAATGTTGGGCTGTCTTACAATTTCTTGTGCCAGATTAATTAGTCCACCACCCTTAATCTCAGCCTCCTGCAAAGCCTTAGGAGTTGGGCATTATATAGACAGTTTTCCATCCAAGTGTAACACCTGTGGCTTCTAAGCCAACTACCAGTGGAATCCTTGATCCTAATTTAAAGCTTCTGGTCATAACCTTTACTGTATGAATTCCTGTCAGCATTCTGTTCTGGGTTCTTGTCAGGATCACCTATCAGATTCTACCTAAATGATTGTAGGGCTTTTCTAGCCAACAACTCCAAACCTTTCAAAATCCCACCCAAAAACCAGATGAAAAGGCTTCTAAACCACATGATCATGTTCAGTCACATCAATGACCCATTGTTGGTACCAATTTTCTCTATTAATTAGCTTTCCTAACATTGGCACACAGGACCTGACACCCACAAATTAAAAGAAGAGTGGTTTAAGTTGGCTTTAATTTGGTTTCCGGGAATTCAGCAGGCCCAAGGCAGAAACGTCATGATGGAAGGGCAGGATGGAGCAAAGCTCCTTCACTGTTTTGGTGGCCAGGCAGAAGAGCAGGGAAAGACAGTCAGAGATGAAGGAGTAAGGGAACTCATAGACACCCGAGGCTACCATCCATGACTCACTCGGACACATGGCAGCATGCTGGACAATGCCTGACTTCAGTCTGTACTACAAAACAACAGTGATAAAAATGGCATGATACTGAAACAAAATGCACCTAAGGCTCACTGGAGAACAATAGAGAAACACTCCTGGAAACATTCAGCAGTTTGATCTTTGACAAAAGTGCCAAAAGCATATGTTGAAGGAAAAACAGACTATTCAACAAATAGTGCTGGGAAAACTGGATATTTGTTGGCAGAAGATTGGAACTGGACTCCTATCTCCCACTATTTATGAAGCTAAAATGAAAATGGATCAATATCTAAACATTAAAACAAAAATGTTGAACCTGCTGGAAGATAAAATAGGTAAAAGTCTTAAAGCCATAGGTATAGGGAAGGATTTCCTAAACGGAATTGCAATTGCACAAGAAATGACAGCAAAAATCAACAAATGGGGCCGGGGAAATGGCTCAGTGGAATAAACGCTTCCCTGGCAAGCGCAAGGGCCTGAGTTCAATCCCTGGTTCCGCAAAAAATAAATAAATAAATAAATAAA